AGTAATTGCTTTTATTTCAACTATTTACTGTGGCAAACGTGGGTTAACTTCTCAATTAAACTAATCGATCACCAACATGACGGAGTTCAAGTACTAATCTGGATGTGGTATTTTGTCTTTGGAAATAAAAAGCTACTCCTCAAATACGAGAGTGGTTCAATTTTTACTGTCTAAAATTTTCATCTCATATGAAAAAGAATTGAGAATGCAAAATTTGACGTTCTTTTGGAGCCGGTAAAGTAAGAAAGATCAAATTTTAGGGTCTGAAATGGCATTTATTTAATCTTTTCATTACAAGTCAAAAATTTTGCGATTTCAAAACTTCTCTACATGCAATGTACAGATTTTTGGCAGGCAATGAACTTGGATGGAAGTGATCCATCACATGCATTCACCGGATACAACATCTTCCAGTTCTGGTGCAGCAAATGGAATAAAACCTAATTAAGATGAACTCCGTGCAATGATATTCTGGGAAGAAAACTCATTTTCACCTTAACCCAAGTTCATGATTAGGCCGGATTTGACCAAGAATCAGAACAAAGTAAACGGGTTCTTCACCCAAAAAAAAAAAAAAACACACACACACACACAAAAGTGTAATTAATTGACTGTCCTTTGTAGTGCAGTTTGGTCTTTAGCAACAAGATTGCGCGTGAATTCTTTCTCTTTCTGCAACAATAATTTCCACAGACAATTCCCCAAGAAAGTTGCAACTTGCACTCTTTTTTCTTTTTGGAAGAGGTGCAAGCGATCCCAAAAATGGCCAATTTTGGCTGGCCACATCCCATAAATAATTCTAGTACTATACTGATGAACATTTCTTCATGTAATGTGCAAAATTGACACCATTAGCATCAATTTAATCAAAAAGGTTGAGTGTAGTTAATTTCTGAAATCTCCACAGGGCTAACGTAATATTGCTAAAGTACTGGTACAAAGAAGAGAAATGTTGAAGATTTTGGATAATGTTAACGTTAATAGTGTTTGAATAGAGTATTATTTGAAATATTATTTGGCATAATTACTGTAATACTTTTTGTGATGTGATGTACGTGAGATAAAAAATAATTGAAAATATAAAAAGGTGAATTGGAAAATATATTTACGATGCAAGCGAAATATTATTTAGAATAATTTAGCAATCCAAACAACAACGGACCCAAATGTGTAATGTACAAAATATAAGATCAAATTTGTACAATATGTAAAGGAGGGTATACGTGAATCCATTTTGCCTGTTTAAAAATGGAATGGTATCATGATAGTCAATAACCTTAATTATTCAGACGTGAATTTCCATGAACCACACACACTACTGTCTAGCTAGTCCTATATGGTGTATGCATGTCTTCTGGAACCCTTCCAGCTATCACAAAGTCTGGTTGACGTTTCAAAAATCAGTCATCAGAAACAGCTATATGGTTGTGTATATAGAATAAAAGACAAAGAAAAAGGCAATTGGGAGGAAAAAAAAAAAAAGGACAAGGAAATAAGAATTTTCAAAGACATGAAACTCGTTAGTTACTACTACTGTCTACGAAGCACGTTGTTTGACTGTTCCTGACTTAGAATTCGTAAAACGCACGTGTAATAAATATTAAAAGGGCCACCACAAGAAAGTTTTTATAATAATGATGTTAATTAGGGGGCAATTAGAGGTAAAAAAAAAAAACTGTAATAATGGGGGAAAAAAATGAAAAGTGCCCTTTTAATTTTAGGGCAAGAAGTAGTTAGTAGAATTGGTTTTCCTATTGCTTTCATAGATTATCCCTAGGTGTTAAAGGTTTTTCACTTAAATGAGGACATATTAATTGTCTTAGGAGTGTGTGTGTGTGTGTTTTTTTTTTCCTTCTCATTCTTGCTTCTGTATTTAATTTCCTTATCATGTTTTTGTCAAGTGAATGATATCAACTGCCTACAATTCAACAGTCCAAGACAGCTATCACGTGCAGAAAATTTTTAATATAATGGTTTTTAGACAATTTAATAAAATTGTATGGCTGCTTTAATTGTCTGCAAATGGTTAATTTATGTTAAGAAACCAACTGTATATTTGTCACAAATCATGGAAGAACGACAATGTGCATTTCTAGAGCTACACACATTTCTAATTGCAGCCCAATTTTGAAAGATTTTCCAACCTCATCAAGTTGCTCTGGTAAACAAATCTTTATAGAGATTAACGAGAAGAAAAAAAAAATGGGGAAATTAAATGTATAACTTGTGGTACATTGAAACTTCTAGCATGGTAAACTTGTTGGTTTTTCTTACAAAGTGTAGGAGTTGATTGTAATTCGTTGTATTAATCCCAGAAACGTAATTTAAATATAATCTTTTTTTTAATTAAAAAAAAACCTTCTAGTAGAGTAAACTTCAAAAATTGCATTAGCTGAGCAAATCAGAACATTCAAAGTTTTGAGGCTTAAGATCGAACATTAAGAAAACAGCATTTATTAAAAGGAGCCACCGCACAAAATTTCTGGTGTACAGTTAGACTTTGTTTGAATTGCATTTTTCTAGACTTTTTGTAGTAGAAAATTACCGTAACGATTTGATATATGTGAGGTAAAAAGATGATTGAAAAATATGTCTATGAAAAACATAACAATTTTTTTTTTTTTTTGAAAAATTGTAATCCAAAATACACCCTTAAATTATTACTAGCTAGAGGTGGGATCGATAGGTGACTACAAATTAAAGAAATGCAAAAGGTCAATTTGTGTTGTTCTAAATTGACTGGCTCATTTTACTAGTTACAACGAATGAAAACAATTGAATAGACCTACCAAATATATGAAAAAGCTCGATGACTTTTTTTTCCCTTTTAAATTTGTGTTTATGGTCAATTTGTCTATCGTAGGTTTCTTAACGAGAGTTTCTTCTCTTCTGAGGTTTTCTCCTCTTCTCTGGTGAAGGTTTCTTCCTCTCTTAGGGATCTCTAGTAAGCGATTTTATAATTCGTCTGTTTTTATAATTAGTAATTAGTCTGTTTCTTGCATTATTAGTCTGTTAAGATGAGAGTTTCTAACTTTTTCCGATTTAATTATCGGATCTGAGCACCTTGTCAGATCTCACCTTAACATTTGGAATTGAATCAATTTATTATCAGATTTGAGAGGAAGCAATCAGTATGGTTAGGAGCATCTTAGATGATATTCGGCTTACAAATATTGTGTTAGCCCCTTAGGGCGCGGTCCAGACGGAAGACGCCTCGTGATATATTGTATGTTAGTATAATATTTCTATGGATTTGCTATTCGGCTTGCAAGTATTGTGTTAGCCCTTTAGGGCGCGGTCCAGATGGAAGACGCCTCGTGATATATTATTGTATGTTAGTATATTATTTCTATGGATTTGCTATTTTGTTAGATCTGTAGTATCAAGTAGTGTTTGTTTTGTACTTGTCGCCATCGGTGGTGCGCATGATGTTTTTTATCCAAAAAAAAAAAAAAGAAGGATGAAAAAATACAAATGAAACGGTGCGGACTTTTATAAGATCTAATGGTGTCGTCATTCGTTGACGGTCATTGGTCACCTCACCCCACTCTTGTATCAAGGACCCATTTTATAAGGTGCATGTGATGGTCTTCTTCAATCTTCAGGCTTGTGGCCCGCCCACTTATTGTTTTTTTTTTTTCCCAAAAAAACAACGCTTTCTTTTCTATTTAGACCAAATTACCCAGGCAGTCATTGAAATTTTTGAATAGTAAAAATTTGGCCGCTCAACTATTAATAATATATTTTTATTCATTAAATTATAAAAAGTGTAAACCTTTTGCCATTCCATTTCATTCTATTGATAACTCTACTGAATTTAATGGTCTGCACAATCCATAAGACATACTATTAGTAGTTACATTCGACAGTAAAATCAAATATAATGGTCCAAAATTTATGCTTTTAATGGGGTCGGTGGATAAAAACATACTATTAATAGTTAAGTTGTCAAAACTCGACTATTCCAAAAAGTCAGTGGCTACCCAGATAATTTGTTTCTTCTGTTTAAAAGCTTCGTCAACCTCAATTTACTTGTACCAGCCAATACACAGTACTGGGTTTGTTTGGATAGAGAATTATTAGCCAAAATTTATTTGCTTATATTATCATTACAATTTCCAACACACCTTTTTATCTTCCCAATTACCTTTTTATCTCACATACATCACATTACAAAAAGTGCTACAGTAAAAATATCTCAAAATTTACAATCCAAACAGAGCCACTTATTTTGTAGAAAAGGGAGCAAATATACGAAACCCTTGAATTAGTTAATTCTGTAAGAAGATATTTTGGAAAATATGTTGAATCATTCTTGTTTCATATGTTCAATTCAAAAAATATATATATATAAAAGGAAGAGCTAAATTCATACGCTGCACCTTAAAATCTCGTCTCGTACAAGTTTCAATGCTAATAGTACAAGTTATTAATGCATTAGAGACGTGAATTTAGAATCAAGGGATGTAAATTTGGGGGTGTATGTCACCTCGCGCACACCACATAAAATTTAAGTACTATGTATTCTTCTACTAAACTTTTTAAGTAATAGACTTTCATTGTGTTTAGATTGTAATTTTTCGGAGTTTTTGTAGAAAATGTGCTGTAGTGATTTTTTATATATATGAAGTAAAAGTGATTGAGAAATGTGTTCATGGAAAATATAGAGATTTTTTGGTGGAAAATTCCTTTCCAAAGCAAGGGTTTAGCTAAAATCAACCGTTTATCATCAAACAAATTAAACTCTATGGATTCAGCGAATTAAGACTTAGCACGAGTAAATCACCATCATATTTAGAATGAAGTGATAAATGTAAAGAGATTGACCTTAAGTTTCCTAACTATTCAAGTGGAGTTCACAAAGTGCACACATTAGGAGAGAAAAGATGGATCCAATTTCGCGGAAGTCACAGGTAAAGACTTTTCCAGCGTAGATGCTTTTGTTGGACTCTCTCGCTGGTCTCATAATATGTGGAATATTTTCACGATAAATACCCAACTTTCCCCCCTTAAGCTCTGAGACTACTACATTTGCACGGGACAGAGAGAGAGAGAGAGAGAGAGAGAGACTGAGACGGCAGCTGCATTACTATATTGAAAAGCAGAGAAAGAAAGAATTCCAGTATCCCCTCCTCCTGATTCATCAATAGAAGTATATAAAAGTTTCAGAGATGGTGAGGGCTCCATGCTGTGAAAAAATGGGACTCAAGAAAGGGCCATGGACTCCAGAAGAAGACCAGGTTCTGGTCTCCCACATTCAGAAAAATGGCCATGGAAATTGGAGGGCTCTTCCAAAACAAGCTGGTAAACACAAATTTCCTGTAGATTCTTCTTCTGTTTCTTGTTGTATTCTTCCACTCACAGCATCAATATAGAAAGAAGTGGAATGCAAGAACGTGTAAAAACACATCAATCCTCAGTGTTCATTCAACCCTTGTTGATCCTGGCACAGTGTGTAGATTAATTGATGAATTTTCCCAGTTGAAGACGTAAAAATGCGAGTAGAACTTCAAAGGATTTAAACTTTCTTGGGAACAGATTATTGTTTTTGGGAGATGTATTCATATTAAACGCTGATATAGCTAATTTGTTCCAACTGATTCTTCTATAGGGCTCTTAAGATGTGGGAAGAGTTGCAGACTTCGTTGGACAAACTACTTGAGGCCAGATATAAAGAGGGGGAATTTCAGCAAGGAGGAAGAAGACACTATCATCAAGTTACATGAAACGCTTGGGAACAGGTGTGAAGAGTTAACACCTAGTCAAATATTTTTCACTTTTTGTGTCCCTATGGTGCAAATTATTGCATTCAACACCGGAATGGAAAGCAATGGATTGAATTCCACTTTTCTGTCATTTCCAGCAGTCATCCAGTGTACTGTGTACATGCATTTTATTTCTTTCACATGCATCACAACACATTATCTGATTAATCATAAATAGACAAATACATGTGGATTAACAGGAGAAAGCACCAACAACACCTCCTTCCATTGTACCAAGTCATGATGAATATTTGAGGCTGATTGAGATAGCCAAGCATTGCTGAAGGTTACAAAATAGAGGTCATTGGTAACTATTGTTAAATCAATAATTAATTAGTCTTGTAATCAGAGCTAGCTCGCAGCTTCACGTTTTGGTTTAACCCTGTATTTGATTTAAAGAGGAGACTTAAAAAATTCAGCAAAAGTTTTGAGATAGAAAGATTCCCTTCCCATGTAATAAATGGTAATGGACTTGTATTGTACTCACATAGGATCTAGTAAAATGAATATGAATTTATAAACAAATCCAAACTGTGTATGGTATACGATAATAAATGAATGGCTCCTATCTTCTTAGGATTTTGTGTCCTTTTTTTTAAATTATTTTTTTTTGTGCCTTAGAATTTTGTGTCTTAATAATCAAAGCTTGTGGCTCGAGCTTTTTGGTTGTCATCTAGCACATAAACAAAGAACAGTTGCAGAGCTCGTGCAAATATCTTATGTACAATTCTTTGTCCTATTTTCAGATGGTCTGCAATTGCAGCTAGACTCCCGGGCAGAACAGACAATGAAATAAAAAATGTCTGGCATACCCACTTGAAGAAAAGGCTCAAAAATCATCAGGCTACTTCTCAGGACATCAAGAAACAGTCTACCCAAGTTCAAAGATCAGATCCCAGAACTCCAGTGAAAATTGATGATCAGCCTGATGAATCCAATTTCACTGATGATCATCATCACCAAGATGGAAAAGTTACTACCAGCCTCGGATGTGCCCCGGTGTCACCACAACATTCCTCTAGTGAACTCTCAACAGTGACAGAGAACGATTCGGCGGCCATCAAGCAAGAAAAAATGGACTCGCCAGAGTATTTTCCTCAAATTGATGAAAGCTTTTGGTCAGAGGAATTCCCAGTAGACAATGCAAATGTGCAATCAGGAATTCATGATGGCCTGGCCACTAATGACATGCAATTTCAATTTCCATTATCTCCTGTGGCTGCTAGTGATGAAGATGTCAATGCCTACATTTCAAATTTTGATGATGGCATGGACTTTTGGTACGATCTATTCATTAGAGCTGGGGAATTACCTGATTTACCAGAGTTTTAAGTAAGAGGGCTCTTCTGGTTGTGTAGCATATTTTTAGATTGAGAAGTTGGAATTCTTTTTATCTAGCTGACGTTTTTGACCATTAACATGGGTGGGGGGCACAAACAACAAATTCCTAGGTGGGACAATGTTGTTGTATCAGGACTCCTCCATACCACTGAATCTTGATCCAATTAGGAAACTGTACGTGAGCAGCCATGGGAAAAGCCAAAGTGGGAGAAAGAAATAAAGACCCTGAATTAGGAATTTTAGTTTGTACACATTTAAATTGCAGGACTTAGGTTACGTCAACTTAAAGGGGTGTTGAGAAAAAAAGAGAGTCTTGACAAATCTGTTTTACCATATTGGATCCTCATTTGGCTTTCTCAGCTGAGTGCTATGATCACATGAATGTTGTAGAACTTTTGTAATTTTATAGTCATTATGACTATGATGATGATGATGATGATGGAAAATACTTTATTAATTACCCAGCATTTTATTTGATTTGCAAATAATCCCAGTTCTTTTTTTTTTGTTTCTATTTTTGAATTGTGGAAAAGCTAAATTCATTTATTAAGAGGCTAATTAAGCTAATCAAAAATTGGAATTTAGGGATTAACAATTGTCCAAAGACATATCCCCCCCCCCCCAACGCAATTCATGCAGACCAACATGCATGGCCACCTCCTCATGGAACTTTATATATGCCAAGAGAAAAGAACAAAACACAAAAGGCAATTAATTAATCGACTTTAAAGACCACGTACCACCACCACCTTTTGGAAAATTCAATCTGCAGCTTGAGGGCCTTAGCCAGGTTAGTGACTAATCATTGTTTTTAATTAAATCAATGTTAAACAACATTTATATGTCATACAAATTAATCTTATATATTATCTCATTAGTTTTGAAGGTTATCTTGTCCTACCACAGCATCTCTTGTCAAAGTGACCCCAAACAAGATTCCTTTGATGTGTTACCCAACCTAAAATAATCAAATCATGCCGTTCTTTTTGTTTCAGTTGTTAAAATCTAAGTGATGATAAGCAAGAAAACCATATACAAAAACCATTTGCTGGCTTCAAACTATCCTTTCGTTGCCTGGAGATGCTCTGATACTGGGAATCTATAGATGAACATTATCCCATGCCAACTTTTCTGTCTCGTGTTATAGCTCTTTCCTTTGTCATTTGAACACGAATAAAGCAATAAAATTCCAAAAAAAATGGACCAACAGATATATATTCCCTTGGCTAGCAGGTCGTAGGAGATGGGGTGACAAGGCAAGTATACACACCTGCAACTTGAGGGGTGCTGCATAATTTTTACACGTCGCATTCAATTTCATGTGCTGGCAAAATGAACATATATATATATACACACATATATATAGAGAGAGAGAGAGAGTCAAATACCTAATATTTAACTTCTTCAATCATAAAATACAATTTTTTTGAACTTAAAATTTAACCCCTTTTAGTATACAAAAACTTTGAATAACCTCTTAAACAAGTAAATAAAACAAAAGGGCATTAATTAATAGGTATAACTGTTATCAATCACTAGGATAAAGTTTCAAAAGGGCATTTAATAGGTAGGATTCTAGTAGCATTACGTACACTGTAGCTTCAAAAATAACAGATAAATATAAAACTTTCTCAATCATTGCTTTGCATCGATTAGATTTGCAGACTGTAACATTCATATTTTCCTAACAGTTAATTGCATCATCAAGTCTTTTTATCTTTTTTTCTGAAAATACTAAGAAGGCAATCGATTTAGCACGCCTCTCTTAGCATAATAAAGGTTTTCTTTGCTATTCCAAGATCGTTGTCAATATTCATTAGCATTTTTTTTTTTAGTATTCCTTGTCCCCTGATTTTGTTGTCTAGTGTAGCTAGCCGACGCTATCAATTCCAGGGCTTTTTTCTTGAAAACTTTTAAGCTATGAGGTTCAAAAATACTGTGAATATTCTGTCTCCTCCCCTGTGCATGAGGTGGGATAAATAACCAAAAATTTGTGAAAATTCTGCAGGGTTACTAGATATTCTTTACCTTAGTGGAAGGGTCCTTCTACAAAGGGCCAGAACCAATTTTGCACTGTAGAAATTATGAGGTGAAAAAGGAGCAGAACTGAAAGAAAATTTATCTTAGCAGCCTAGCACACAAAAGATTGAAGACTAAAAGAAAAATTTTTCTTAGCAGCCTAGCACACAAAAGATTGACGAATATTCTTTACTTCTATATCCTCGATTCCTCGTGTTGTCATTAGACTAATGCCACGAATTTTTATCTACTTACTGCAAACTCGTATCAGTCTAAAAGAAGAAAAGTAAAAAAGCAATTCACTGGATATGATCCTAAATTTTCTTACTTGAACTCGTCTTCTCTAATTAACTGGTCATTATTGTTTGCTTTCCTATTCATCAAGTTGTTCTATTGGTTCTGATATTTTCCTAGTCCTTTTTGCGTGCAAGTTCCTCAATTTTTTGCCATCAAATTTCGACATGGTCATCGGCCTTCTGGCTCTCATTTAATACCCCTCTCTCTCTATCATTGATTTAGCAAAACGAACCATAAAAGTGAACATTTAAGTCATTGACTACTAGCATGCATTGTTTGATCGGATAGAAGAAGAAGAAAGAAAGAAAAGTATGCGGGCGACCAAACCGTTTTAAGTTTGAGGATGAAAGAATTGGAAGTGGAGATCATTAATGGGTGTGTTTAGACAGTGGATTATTTACATAAATTTATTTATTTATATTATAAATATATTTTTCAATCACTTTTTTTTTCACATACGTCATATAAAAAAATACTACAATATTTTTTTCAAAGAAAAAGTGCTACAGTATTTTTTTAAAAAAATATATCTTCTGGTCCATTTGTCAATCAATAACGTTTATTTAAAGAAAAACAAAAAAAGAAAAAATAGAATCACCAAGGTAGAGGTGGCAATATGGATAAATGGTTCATAATTGGTTTTGACTTAATGGATGGTGGATGAAATTTATCCAATCCATTTAAATCCATTTAATAAATGGATCTAAATGGATTAAATAAAAACCAATTATCCATTTATAATCCATTTAAATATTTTGGTTACTTTTTTTTTTTGTATTACCATTTCTTGTAATATGAAGATACTTTTTTATGTACTCGTAAATTTTAGGTGTAGTTGGATGAGAAAGATGGCAAAATACTTAGATTTTTCATTTAAGAATTTAGGTAGTATTTTGGTCTAATTTAAGAATAATTGGTCTAATTTGGTTAAAGTAATTTATAAATAAAATTTTCAAATGTTATTTAACCTATATCATAAATATAATTTTTAATTTTTTTTATCTCATACACGTCATGTCACAAAAAATTTATAATATTCTTTCAAATACAGCTCGTCATTGGAAACTTTTCTGGGTTTAAATTAAAGAAACAGTTAGGGAACCCAGCTAGGAATAGGAGGGAAGGTTATGGTGGGGGACCAAAACCGGGGGGAGGGGGGGCCCAAATTGAATTCGTTGATGCAGTCCACCGCATGATTGGGGAGCATGGAGGACTACACTGTCATATATTTCTTGCTTGCAAGTTTTGATCATGATTGGCTACTTTTATTTGGTTTTTAAATAAATGGATATATGTGGTTTTTGTGGATAATCCATATAAATCCATTTAATTTAATGGTTTTACTTTGGTCAACCATTTAAAACCAATACCATAAATGGATAATCCAAATCCATTTAATTATGGATTATATGGATGGCTAAATGGATTTCAATCCAAATTGCCACCTCTACACCAAGGTACAAGTCCCTAACAATTTCTTAAATCACACATCAAATTACTCACATAATCGAGTTATGCTCAGTACTAATGAAAGCATAAAAGAGTTTGAGTTCCAGTAGCATTTGAAACAAAAATTTGTCATTGGCGCTATCTAACAGGCTTATAATTCATTGAATTTGAGTTTGAATCATGACTTTAGAATCATGATGTTATACACTGTTTGCGAGAAAATTTGGGTAGTAAACTCACATCTTTGTCATGTCTCCTTCATTGTGGAACAAGTTCTTTGAACAAAATCATTTTTGGCTCAAAATGCTAACGTCCAACAAAAATATTAATTAGTCAATAGTTCGAAGTCCTGCAAACAAAACTCAAAAAGCTACTTCACCATTAGTAGTCAATAGTACAAAGTTTTACAAAACCATCATATTGATATTTAGTCAGTTTGTCAATTTCAATCAAAGAAAACATCCCTCTCATCGAGAGCTATTGCTACAAGGGCTCCTCTGACGGCATCAAAAAAGAGGGACCAGGGGCAGGAATGGTTGAACGGTTGCATGAGCAATCGTTCCTGAAGATTATGTGCATTTTGCACACGACGTAACTTTATTTGTACATGATATAATTTACTTTTAACAATATGTAATTCTAGAACAAAATTTTGTAAATCCCACGCATATTATTAAAAATGAGATACAAGATAAGATCTGGACCGTATAATTTTTTTTGGCCAAATCTTACCCGTGAACGGTTAGAAACGGTTGCTTCCTGCAACCATTCGTGCCCCTCCTCCAAAAGGAGGAGAGCAACAAATGCGAACGTCAGCAATTATGGCACAGTACAGTACTTTGGACCTAATCTCATCAGGCTTCGATTGTGGATAAACTATGTACTCTTTGCAATTCTCGTTTACTCTTGCAACTAAATTTTTTATTTTTTTAATAGCTTAAAGAGACTAAAATCTAAAGATATGTCTGAAAGTAACTTTAGCTGATTCTATCTTTCTCGATAATTACTTGCCGTAATCAACTTTTATGTGCAATAACCCGATGTTAAAAGAGCTACAAATGCTATAACTAGCCTAAAAAAGCTTGGCTATGCATACATCCGGATTAATTAAACACCCAGCACATGTAGAAATGCACAAGAGCGTCCCACAAGAAAAAATGCTTTTGCCATCTTCAAATCAGAATCTTGGAAAAGTCAAACGAGCTAATGTTGAACATCCGAGAACTGCCTAAGTCAACCAACCTAATCTTGGATATCTGAACAAGCGTTTACTAGCCAACAATCTTTTGATGCCCTCAAATCAATCAAAACTAAGTCACCAAGTCAATCTTCATTCACGATCATCTTTGCTTGAACAATTCAAGAAAGCAACTGTGTGTTTTATGTCTTCTTCTTTGCTGTTCCATTTGATATCTCAGTTCTGATGGTTTTTCTTGTCCCTTGAGTTTCATCTTAACACAAAAAATTACTAATCTACTCGTGGAATTCAGCTCATATATATAGACGTTCTTGAAGTTGGGGTGGTACATCACCACTCTTTCATGAAAGACTTTGACGCTTGGGACAATCCTTAAAAATAGGTTATTATATCAAAATCGAATATTAATGTCTTATTAGTCTCGTTTTCATCTCCCATGGTGTAGACTTGTTCTTCTTCTTCTTTTTTTTTTTGGTCTTGGCGGGCTAATTAGACTTAGTATGCACTAGTCAAGCCCATCATAAA